ACACAGAAGAAACATTTCCTCCATGCTTCCAAGCAAAGCCCAGGTCAAGCAGTACCTCTTATCTTCACATAGATGGAACTGGTAAAAGAAAGGAGCCAGGGGCTCCTCCTAAGCCCATGTGACCCCTGAAGTACAGATCTTCAAATGGCCTTAAGAGTAAAAATAAATTGGTTTATTTGGGCCAACTGTATGGCCTTAAATACCCAAAACAAAAGTATAACCAAAGATAAAAGTCATCAGTATATTTCTTTAAGAGTTCAAGGGATTACACATCCCAGACATTAGACTTAAGTTCTTATAAGATGTTAATTAGACAATTATTTCTCATTGATGATTTGTTCCTAGTAAGCCAATGCTACTCAGCTGTAAAACTTCAATTCTTGGCTTGTAATACCGTAGTGCCCACCTGCAGCTGAGGGAAACAACTCACTATTGTTCTAAAATGATGACTAAATTTGTTTTTTCTCCCTACGTAGAGGCCATTTAAGAGGGAGCTGATTCTAGCCACTCCAACAGTTATCAAAGTGCCTGACAACAAATCCTGAGTTCATCAATCATCAGTCCAGACTTGGCAGGCAAAAAAAAAAAAAAAAAAAAAATGAGGGGGAACCCATTAGAGGGATGCCTTTGGAAGCCCTTATCAAAAAATTCCAATGGACTTATTTGGACATTTTCTGGTTCCCTGCCTAGAAATTGTAATACTAACTACTCTTACCTTTACTTTTCCTTCACATCTCCCAGGCACCAGTCAAGCACCCTCCTTTTCTCCCTATAGTTAAGAGATATGTAATTTGGGAGTCTTTTGGATAGACCCACTGAAGGGGTACCCCACTTCTGTCACCCTGCATCCCTGTTCAGCATGGAAGAAGCCAGAGTGGTCTGTGTCCCAATTCCCTATTGGCAATTTGGGTAAGCCTCTTCAGAGGGTGCTATGATAAGAACAGGAGATATAAATTGGCTAGGTAGCTAGGGTAAAAAGACCCCAAAGAAAAGTAGCCAGCTTCTTTCTTGACTAAAAGTCAAAATGTCCTTGGGCCTTTTAACAAAATACTCTGTCCCAAGGGCCAAAAACATTAAAAGTATCTGGGCGCTCTTATCCCAAAAAGATTTTGGGACTGCCTCTTCAGAGGGGGGAATGTTACACTATCAATAGCCCCCTGATTATGCTATGTGTTACCCTGATACTTGCTCCCTGTTTCATACAATTTCTTAGCTGACAAATTGCCACCATTGCTAAAATTACTACCAATCAGGTCATGGTCAATTATCAGACCTTGGATTCTCCCATGAATTGGCTCTTAAAGCTTGTGATGACACGTCTCCATTATAAAACAAAACAGAGGGAGATGTTGGGGGACCCTGCTGCTAAGTTTGTAGTCCACCATGTCTGAATAGCTCTAAGGAGCTCGGCGCTGTATGGAGGACTCCCTTTCTCAGTGGGGGCTTCCTGCTCTCTGCCTGACCTTATCTGGAAAGTGCCTCCAAGCACAGTTGCCTGGCCTTGTCTGGAACATGACCTTTGGCATAGTTACCTACAATAAACTTCCTCTAGGTTTTTTCTTTATTACAGTTAGGCATTGCACTAGAGCCAGATGATAGGGTCCTCCTGCCACATTTAAATAAAGCATACCATGAACACCTATCAGGTGAAGCTTTGGCTACCATCTCCACCCTATATTTTTCCCTGACCCCCACTGAATAAATGAGCTGTCTCACTGAAACTGACTCCCAGAAGGTCTTTTCCATTGTACTCACTGGCTGTCCTGACCCCATTCATCACCTCTGATCCTTTTGTTCTTGTGGGTTAGTGGCCAACGGCCCACAAGGGGAGAGAGAGACCCACAGGATCTAGAGTAAATTTGAATCATTATATCCTCTGAAATATTGGTGCTATCTTTTTTTTTTTTTTTTTTTTTTTGAGACAGGGTCTCCCTATAGCCCCAGCTGTCTTGGAACTCTCTATGTGACCAGGCTGGCCTGGATCTCACAGAGATCTGCCTGCCTTTTTCTCCTAAGTGTTGGGGTGAAAGATGAGTGCCACCATGGTGGGTAGAGCTAGTGATATCCTGATATCACTATGCTCTCATCTGCAGAGCTGAAGTATCCAAGGGTTTACTGTATCTATGTCTCCAATTCATTTTGAAATGCTAGACAAAAATACTATGCTTAACTGAAGGAAAGAGGGGTAGGAAAGATGGACACATCTGGCAAAGTCAGCACTGTAGTATGTTGACTTATTCTAGAATGCCCTCAGTTCACTGTGCAGCTCCACCTGGCCTTAAACTCCTGATCTTCCTGCTCCCACCTCATCTATCCTAGGATTACGGGCATGTACCAGCTTTTCAAAATGAATGAAAATTTTTATTTAGAAACTTGGGGAAATATGTAACATTTTAAAATATGCCAGTAATATAGAAATCATGAAGAATAACAAAGAACCCCCCCCATGGTAGTATTAATTAAAGACAGTATTCCATCATGTATCCATCAAATTATATATACATATAGAAATAAGAATGATTGCTTGGCCAAAGAATACACTTTCTACTCAGCACCCCATGGAACTTTCTAAAAAATTGACCACATACTGGGCCACAAAACAAACCAAACCTCAACAAATACAAAAAAATTGAAACAATTCCAAGAATTCTATCAGACCACACTCTCTAAATTTGTATTGCTCTTGAATGAGAAATAGCTTCCACTTACCTTCTCAAAGGCAGGAAAATAACGGTTCCTTGCTTTGTCTTTGAGGTTGGCAAGGCTTGCCTCTTTCTCCGCAGGTGGAAGGTATGGGTAAGAAATAACCATGTCATTCAGATCTGCTACACCTTCTGAATACATATCAATGCTGAAAAACAGACAAACATGCTATCTCAGAGTTTATGCTCAAAAAACTTAAAAGAGTATCAGGTGCCAGCAAAATAATTAACCTTTAATGGTGGCCTATTGAAGCAGTAGAAATTATCTGATCTTGTGTTGGGGACTCCTGCTTTGTAAGGTAGCAGTTTCTCCATGTCCGGATAGCCCACGGGCTCGGATTCAAATGCAGAGACTCCTTTTTCAGCAGAGTGCCTTCCTGCCATCTTCCTGACTCGTCTTTTGAAGTAGCCACCACAGAAACATGACCTCTGGCTCTGGAAATGCCATGTTTTCCTGTGTGATTTTTCAGGCAGTCTGGCAACCTGGCAGGAGCCCACTTCTATATGTATATAAGGGTATTCCACAAAGTACCTATCAGCTAAAGCCTTTTACCACTACCCCCACAGTATAAAATGTCCTGGTTTTCTCTCAATAACTGGAGCTGGATCACCAAGACCTGGAGCCGAGCAGAGTCACTGAATAAAGGCTGTACCACTGAGACTGAGCTGAGTCCTGTGTCTCACTGCCTACGATCCAGTCTCTCCAGGGGGCGGTATCCTTCCGTCATTGACTCACGGAACTCTAGCTTTAGCCGCCCTGCACTTTCCCGTGTGATCCAGCGGCCGGTGGATTTTGCATCTTGAGGAAGTGCATGGGTGAAATTAGGGCGGAACCCGGCCGGGCAAGCCCCGGCAGTGGAGACCCACAGAGACGCGGGGAAGTGGCGGAGAAGCAGGGACCCGCTAGAGAGCCAGCAACACAGACGTGCTGTAGGACCCGCCGCCGCTCCAGGGTGCGCGCAGCGGACCGGTGCCATGCTAGTAACTGGTGCCCCGAGATCCCCGCACACCCCATAATCTTGCTTACAAATTAATGTTTCTTATTTGAATGACTCAGGGCTAGCAAACACTATACCAACATATAACCATGCAGTATTCTCTTCATCCATTCTCTGTTGTTCATTCTCATCTTTTGGATGTTATAAATAACACAGCTACAAACACTTCTTTACAATTAATTATAACTGAGGATGTATTTTCATTTATCTTGTGTATCTACCTAGTAGTTGAACTGCTAGTTCTTGGTTACCTGATGTTTAACTTTTCAAGAAGTAATGAACAGTTATACTGAAGATTTTATTTTTGATTAAGTAGTTTATCACAAGAGGGAGGAGATCGCAACCACAGTCTTGGCAGCTCTGAATCAGTTGAATCAGTCTGGCTTCTTTTAGTCCCCCATGAAATACTTCATGTAACCTTGGTATCTTGGCAGCAGACTCTATGAACACCGTCAATTTGACTTTACATAGAATTAGATGGTGACTTAAGCTCTTGGTTATCTATCTTCTAACTGCTAGAACTTAAGAATCATCTCCTTTGGAGTCTCCTCTTTCCCAACATACAAATGCTTCTCCTTTTCCAATATTATTGGCTAGAGTCTTGCCTCAAAAGACTAAGCAGATGGAACGAATATTCCTTCATCTCCTGAATTCAAAATTCCTTAGCGTTTGCAAACCTCTACCACTGTGCTAATGAAATATCTTGAAACCCCCATCAGCCATAATCTTCCCTCATCTCCACAGGACTCCTCCAAACTCATGTCAGGGTATATACCCCAGACTCAGCCTGCTTCTGGTCATGATTCCCCTTTCAAGGTTTTGCTCACATAATCTTGGACCTAAATCTTTCCTCAAAGTATAGAAACTATACCATACAGGGCTCTCTCCTTCATGTCCTTCCCGTAGAGGTTGTATTTCATGGCAATGTAGTTCATAATGGCTTTGGTCTGTACCAGCTTCATCCCATCAATCTCTACCAAGGGTACTTGCTGGAACATTAGATCTCCATCTTTTAGAAGAAATAGAAAAGAAGAAAAGTAAAATGTCTCTGATCAGACACATTCAAGACAAAAGAATAATAGAATTACATTGGTTTTATAAAGGAAAAACAACTACTTGGTAGCTATTTGATAAAACAGAATTTTAAAGAATTTGCAGGGCTGGAAGACAACTCAATGGTTAAGAGCACTGGCTGCTCTTGCATAGGAACTGGGTTTGGTTCCCAGCATTCACTTGGTGGCTAACAACCATCCAAAATTCCAGTTCCAGGGGATCAGATGCCCTCTTCTGGCCTCCTTCAGCATTGCTTGACACAGGTCCACTTAAATACATTCAGGCAATATACTCATACATATAAGATAAAAATAATATATAAAAATTTTTTCCAAAAGAATTTTGCTTTCTGCATCTTCAGGAACTTCTTTAAGTTTTATCCTATTACTTTATTGATAATTTTTATTTCCTAGCTGGATATACTGTCCCTGGTTTTATATGTACATGTATGTGAGTATGTTTAACTCATCTTCATGTATATTTTAGGAAGAAGTTGAGGGAGGCACAATATAGTAGCCAGATGATGTCATCCACTAAAAATGTTCTCAAAGTCTCGAGTTGTCCATGACATCATGGCCAGTTCACAGACCTGTTTCTATGTAGGGATTCTGTGTGCTTTTCAACTAACATCAAGGACATATACAATGGGTAGGCTTTGTGACACTGACCTACAGGGCTGGCCTTACCCTTTTTCTTCATCCTCACCTCTCTGACTTAGAATTCCAAATAACCTGCACAATCTCTTTGTTAATTCTGTAATAAAGTATTACTGGGCAATCAGTTTGTAAAGCCTATGAGAACTGAGGACAAGTGCTGGACTTTTCTCTGTTCCTGATGTCTGATGAGTGTGCCTGTGTGTACTTGGATGGAGGACACTCCTGGTATCTGATGAGTGTCCCTGTGTGTACTTGGGTGGAGGGACTGTGGGAACCTCAGCTAAGTGCAGCTAAATGCAGAAAGCATGCAAAGTAGGGACAGAACATTCACAGGGCCCTAGGGAGTGGTTTCTCAGCAAATTCTGAGATATTTACTATCCCTGCTCAAGGAGACCTGTGCCTTACAATTACCATCCTTTACTTTCTACCATTCCCAATGAACATTACAATTACACAGATAATGTCTAATGTTTAAGCCTCTAAGAGGAACTGTTTTAGAAACAGATATTTGTTCTTACCATTTCTTAACTTTTGCAAATCCTCTCGAGTTTTCATAAATTTTTCTTCAAACTAGAAAACAGAAATAGAAAGTGAGTTCTTATGAACTAAGTCCATTGCCCCAGTGGCTCTACCTATGTTGATGATTAAGCTATGAGTTACAAGAATGCCATTAGAAGGGAAAGGAAGATCGTTCTTCTAGCTGTGGATTTGTGCTACTCCAGGAAAGCCTATTCCCATGTGAGATCAGAAAGAGTATTGTGTGTCTCTAGCACCAAGAGGTTTTCCATTATTTTTCTATTACTCTTCTACAATCCCAGTATGCCTTCACCTATGCCCAAATTAAAATTCTAGAGATTAAAAAAAATGAGTCTGGAAAGTTTAAAAAAAGGAAGGAGAAAGTACTGTAATAAACTAGTAGAATTCTCAAACTAAAAATATGTAATCATAGACTATAAATCCTCAATTCTATATGTCTGCTTTAATTTTTCAGTATTATTTACTGACAAAATTGTATTACCAAGCTTCAACAATAATGTGGAATTTGTCACTCTGCCTATAATGTGAGTTTGCCATTCACTACCTTTCAAATTCTCCAACCTGTACAAAGTCTTTCAATATAATCATGTTACCTTTTAGAGAAAGCAATGGTAATAAAATGTTTTTAAATAAAAAAAGAATATTGAAATGTTTTGAAAACACACAGTGTAGGGCTGCATGTAAACAAGTAACAAACAATGGTGGTGTTTTCAGTGACTACTTTCATAGCACTCCAGGCACAGCAAAGTCAGGTTTTTGAGGTTGTTAAGCATGCTCCATGGATCAGTTTCTTGATCTATACAATCACCTGAGATCATACTATAGAGACAGTAAGGTGGTATCTCAACAATTTCCCAGACACTCAGTCCCTGAGAGACACAAGGGATTGGTGGGTGGTTATCAGAGGAGGGCCAAGGAGGGATGGGGCTGGAAAATGTAATGTTGATGGTGTGACTGATGGCGATAGATGGGGCCGGAATGACCATCCTTTGTGTACAGAGAGCCAAGAAGGTCTGAGCCCAGGTGTCCAGGCTGTTTGAGCTTAGTCAAGCTGAGAGGCAGGGGAGGAAGCCTGGGTTGTTGGTAACACTTCCTGCTGACCAGAAGGTTGAAAATTTCCAGCCATAAGTCTGGCATCTTGTTGATTATAAAACTAGATTGTTTATTCATTCAAAGAAAACAATTTGTGATGTCTCTATGTGTTTGATTTCTTGTTTCCTCATTAAATTTGAGAAAGGGTGAGATCACACAATTGATGTATTCATGGAGTGGTTGTGAAAAGGGCTGAGGTTCCCACAGTATCCTGCATCCGCTTAGGTAACTTGTTGCTATGAGGATCAAGGGGCTGTAGAAGTTCCTCTAGGGGACATGACCATATGTAGCCCCACCCTCTGATTCCCCAGGGGGACAAGATCTACTGGCAGTTTCCATGACTTCCTTCTCAGAAAACTCTTTACACAGTTGCTGTGTCCTGCTGGTCTGGACTAGTGATTTTCCCAGTAACACTTCCACAGGGAAACACTTCGCTGAATCACAAAGATCTCCATTAGATACTTTGTCAAACACTTGAAAAACTGACATTTTAATCCCTAAAAAACCAGAGATCTTATCCCATCACTAAGAGATATATTGCTTTTTTGCCCTGCAACCTCAGGATCTAGACAAGTACCAGATTGCACTAGAAAATGTAGAAAATATGAACAAATGTGTTTCATGGTTAACAAAAAATTTGTTATCCACCACTCAAGTGGGGTGGATATTTTCTTTTTTGAAATGGATTTTTTGGGTTTATTTTTATTTTACGTGTGTGAATATTTGCCTGCATGTTTGTAAGGACACTGTGTGTGCAGTGCTGTGGAGGCCAGAAGAGGGCATCGGATGACCTGGAACTAGAGTTACAGATGGTTGTTAGCTACCATGTGGGGACTGGAATCAGAACCTGGGTCCTCTGCAAGAGCAGCCAGTGCTCTTAACCCCTGAGCCAGCTCTCCAGCCCCTGCAGCATGTATTTTCCTTGTAATCACCTTCATTTCCTATGAATGTACATTTAATCTTTTTATTACTGAAATTTCTGACATACATAAGAGTAAACAAAAAATTGTAATGTTCCTCCTGTACCCCTCACCTACCTTGAATTTCTTGATCAACCCAAGAGAACAGGTTTTCATCTCTCTGCCCATCCATTCCCTTTCTTTTGTAATAACTTGGAAATTTCATCTGTCATGTACACTCACCCCATGTAACAATGTTTTGGTTGACCACAGACTGCTTATACAAAGCTAGTCCCATAAGATTACAGTAGAATTGCAGAATGACTGTATAGCTACAGAAGAGGCAGGAGGGGAGGAGACTGCAGTGGAGAATTCAGGAAAAATCAGTGAATGATTTATGAAAGACTTCAGACCTCAAGGAATTCCGTAAAAAGTTGAAAACTTTCTCCACATGGACCTCAACATGGAGAAGTTTTCATTCCTGGAGAGGATTGTCACACTCCATTGTCCTCTGTGAACACCAAGCAAACTCATGAGTAGCAGGACATTTCCTCAGATGAGCCTCAGGCTGACCCCTGAGAAGGTTCCAGAAGGAGGAACTGTTCTCATAGGAAACAGCAGACCCATGTGTGTCCCCACCCCTAAGACTTTCTAATGAGAGAAGCTATGGAGGAGGAAGCCAGTAACACTAACGATCCTGCCCCATGTAGGCAGAGGCTAATGTGTGTGTCTGTATCTTATGTTTCAACAAAAGAAATTGCAGGAAAATGATGAAAAAATTACAAATAGGCAAATCTTACAGAATAAAGGCATAAAGGGAATATTTTATTCAGCTGCACAATGTGAGCTTTGTCTTGTTGCCATGACAGAAGAGTCAAAAACTTAAAAAAAAAAAAAAAAACCAACATTTATAAAGTTAACTGTTGCAGTAAGCTAAGGCTAATTTATTATTGAGAAGGAAAACCGTGTTAGTAATGCCTGAGTGTACATCATTTATGAAAAGCCTACTGTGCTGCACAGTATAGATAGCCAGCCTCTGATACTAAAACAAAAATACCTGAGATAATCAACCTAAAAAGAGGAAAAGGTTTGTTCTGGCTCATGATTTCAGAGGTTCAGTCCTTGCTCACTTGGCCCCATGGCTTTTGGACCCGTGGCAAGATAGAACAGGAAGGCAGGAAGCAGCTGGTGGAGCCACTGTCACCACATGGCTGCTGGAAGTAGAGAAAGTCGGTAGAGTCCCAGAATACCTTTTAAGAGCAGGCATCCCAATGGCATAAGTTCTTCCAACCAGGACCAACCTCTTAAAGGTTCCACCACCTCCCAATACAGACACGGGTTGGGGATGAAGCCTTGAATTCATGGCCCTTCAGAAGACATTTCAGAACCAAGCTGTAGCACATAGCAATGCCAAAGTTTTCATATTTACTCACTCCGTACCCTTTGATTCACTCAGAGCAATTTCCAGTCTATTAAGCACAATGCATGGTAAGTGTCTTATGTAAGTGTAATGCTTTTTCTACATTTAGTTACATAAATATTTATGATAATGTTACAATTACCTATAGTATTTAGTATATTAACAGTCTAGACAGATTTGTGGTCTAGAAGCAATATGGTATGCCATATAGCCTGGGCACATATTATATCATATTCCTTATTTTTATATAAGTATACTCTAGGATGTTTATATCACCGAACAAGCTAATGACATATCCTCATTGTTAAGGAGTGCATGACTTTTTCGTCCCTTTTTGTGGGACAAGAGACGGTTATTTGTGACTTTATTAAATTTATCTTTTTATTACTTTTAGGCTAACATATAAAGTGTTTTTTTTTCATTATGACATTTTAATATATATATATATATTATTAAATATCATTAATTCTTTTCTTATTCATCTCCATTTCCCATTGCCTCATCCCCATCTCTACTGCTTCCCTTTCAGCCTTTAATAGTTAAATCCGCTTTACTAAAACATAGAAACTTGACTGGGGAGATTGCCTAGTGGGAAAAGCTACTGTGAAAGAATGAGGACCTGAGTTTGATCCCTAGATTCCATGTCCAAAACCTGGGTGTGGCAGTACACACTTGTAATCCCAGAGCTGGAGAGTCAGAGACAGGTGGATCTTTGAGACTCACTGGCCAACAAACTTAGCCTACTTGGTGAGCTCCAGGCCAGTTAAAGACCTGTCTTTTTTAAAAAAAGGTGGCTGGTGCCTGAGGAACAACAGCCCAAGATTGTCCTATGACCTCACATACACACATAAACTTACACACATACACATCTGCACACAGAGGAATACGTATATATGCATACATGTACTTGCACACACACATAAAATAAATAAGTAAAAACAAAACATATAGGGATTGGAGAGATGGTTCAGCAGTTAAGAGCACTGGCTGCTCTTATAGAGGACCTGGGTTCAATTCCCAGCACCCACATGGTAGGTAATAACTGTCTAACTCCAGTTCCAGGGGAATCCAATACCCTCTTCTGACCTCTGTGGGCATTGTACAACACAGGTGCACTTACATACATGCAGACAATATACTAATACACATAAAATAAAAAGTGCAGCCTCTGTGGAAAACAGCGTGGAGAACTCTTAAAAAACTAAAAATGAACCTACCATATGACCCAGTTATACCACTCTTTGGTATATACCCAAAGGACTCATTCTATTGTAGAGACACTTGTACAACCATGTTTGTTGCTGCTCTTTTCACAATAGCTAAAAGATGGAAGCAACCTAAGTGACTGACAAGCAGTTAACAAAAATGTGGTACATTTACACAATGGAGTTCTATTCAGCAGTAAAGAAAGATGAAATAATGAAATTTACAGGTAAATGGATGGATCTAGAAACAGTTATACTGAGTGAAGTAACACAGACTCAGAAAAAGTAATAAAATTTTTTATAAAAACATCTAACATCTGCTAAAATAATTAGAATATATGATTGTACTAAAAGCATTAAAATAATTTAACATTATCAAATTGTAAAAGTTCATGTCTCTGTTTGATCTAAGTGACATAAGATTTTTTTACTACTTATTTAAATTAAAAGCCAAATGAAGTCCTACTGATCTTGATAAATTACATTTATTTTAATGTTGATGTTCTGCAATGAAAACAATAATTGGTGATGAAGATGTCTGTGAATCACTTAATAATTAGCAATTTTGATTTTAGTCCATTCAAGAAGTCACATCACATAGCTCATGGGAGAAAAGTATTTGATACAATCAATTGCAGGCCCAACTGAAAATGACCCAACTCAAAGCATACCTCTACTCCAGCTGCAGCCAGGAGCCACCGGATGGGCTCCATTCTGCCCCGTCCATCAAAGTAGTGAAGGATTGGCTTCCCTGACATGGTAGCAAGTTCTTGTTTTTTTCTAAATATGAGTGAAAGAATGAATGAGTGAATGAATGAAACACACCATACAATCAAAAATCCGTTTTATGGGGTTTGGATTGACAGTGCAGCTGCACTAAAGAAGTAACCACCTTTTTCATGGCAGCATTGGAGACGTTCCTGGAATATACGCCTTGGTCCAAATTATTGCCCATCAGTAGTGATGCTTAGATTTCACCAAACCAATCTCATTGGTTAAAATGTGACTGCTTTTTAAATCATAATCATACGTCAGAGTGAATGATAAGAATGAATGTATGGGACATAATAGGAAAACAAAGAACTAGCAAACTAAAATTTACTGCAAACCTCTTAATAGTTTAAATTGCAAACCCCATTACAAGTCTTCCCCCCCCCTCCTCCTTCTCCTCTTGGTACCTATTTAACCAAGAGCTTTGCACAAGGTAGGCAAGCTCTGTACCACTAAGGTACACTTCCAACCCTTGAGTCTTTTGATATATCTTTAATATTAACCATAGTTACATGAAATGGTGGATATTATCTCCATCTTCCAGTTAAGGAAAGTACCAGATAATTTTAATGCACTGTTCATAATCACATCAAAGTCAATGATGGGCATGAAGAATCACAATGAGGAATAAAAACGAGGAGGGTCTGTGTAGGTGAAGGCCCTGGAACCTATCAGTGCTTCGAACCCAGAGGACGTCACACACCAAGGCAGCTGTCACTGTTCAACCATTTGATCAAAATCAGAGATTGGGCCTCAAGAATTGCTCTACTCTACCCCCCCATTTTCCTGTATGGACAGAGTATGTTAAGAGTAACTCAATAGGAGTTAAAAAGAGCCAAATTCTTTGAGTATTCAGGATGCTCATTCCCTGCTTCTGTGGAATGCTATCTTCTATCTCTGTTGTTGTGTGTTTTGATGGGAAATTAAGCAAAACAGGTGTTGCTGGATTTGCTTTACAGAAGATAGGACATAGGACACAGGTAAGTGTGTTTCATGTCTGCCACACTCTGGGTATTCCTATGAGTTCATCTTCATTTTATCCAGAAAAGAAATCCCTAATGGGCTATCTACTGTTTTGAATATATGGTTGGAAGCACAGATGTTTCTAGAGTAATTTCCCCAAAATGCAGTGCTGTTCCAGTATTTACTCTTCTACTCAAAACCAAAGTCTAGGCTTCATTTTCCTTGTTATTGTTTTTCAGTCTCTAGGTGGGTTCTGAAGTCCACTATTTTGGAGGTAGGGTCTCTCTAGCCCAAAACTCACTACATAGACCAGGTTGGCCTTGACTTCACAGAGCTCCACTTGGAGTTAAATGTGTGTGTCACCACACCTGGCTGAAATCCACCATTTTTACTGATGAAGTGTAAAGAATAGGAAGTATCCGAGTAGAGGAAAGGTTAAGTGATGTTTGATGTATTTTTTTATTCAGTCTGGGCATGTGCTCTGTACAGATGCGTGCAAGCGTGTGCTCATAGGTCCTTGTAAACAGATATTGGTTGAGTCCTTTAAGGAAGTGTGACAGCTCTTGCTCAATCCCAGGTTGCTTGGAGGTAGAACACAGAAAGGAATCAGAGCGCCAAAAGCAATGTCTCCTGGGATGAATGGGACCAGGAAGCTCAAGAGTATAGACAAACTATCAGGAGTCACTGAAAGCAGAAGCTCAATGCTGGGCCTTGGGGACAAACTGTTAAATTTTTTCCCTACAAACTCAAAGACGTATTATGAAACATTACCTTTCTTCTCACAAAGTTTTTGCTGTTGTTGAATTTGAAACAATATCTTTGTCTTTACCAAAAGATATATTCCCAAATTTGGAAATTATTTGACTTGCACAAGGAAATGTCCTTAATAGCTACCCTTTAAATGTGGAGCTCAGAAGTCCTAAACTTTATAAGGTATAAAATCCATTGGAAACAAACTTAATCAAATCATGGTTGTTATAATTGTAGAATGAGTAAACTGCACCTTCTTACCAGGGGTTTGGAGCGGCATGACTTAGTTGAAGGAAGGAAAGGGAGAGTAAAGTTCACACTGTTGGAAGTGTTTGGTGGTCATTTAGGGACACAGAGACAAAGGATTCAAGTCTGCTCACTAATTCCATTAGCCATTGACAGAGGATCATGTTACAAAGGGAAACACATTTTCACCTTACATAATATTTTATCATAATGCTCTCTGTGGTAGCTTTCTCCAGTTTCCAAATAAGAGCTTTCCAATGTCAGCTCCAGATTAGCAGAATAGTCAACAGAAAATAAGAGCAAGAGAGACTGACTGATCTGAATGGCTCTCAACACAATCCTCCACTCTAGTCAGGTCTGAGTAGCTCTCCTCTCCACAACCACACTGGGAACAGCCCCAGGCATTCACCTATAGATGGGAGAAACAACTTGTCCCCACTCCACCCTCACAACCAAGGAGTATCAGGTACTTGACCTCTGCCTGGTTTCAGGTCAGGGCTCCACTTCCCAGGAGCTCTCCCTGAGTTTTAAACTGCTCTCTGAGGACCTGCTCTCTATTTTCCCAGTCAGAGTCCTCCAGCAAACTACAAGTTGGAAGAGCGAATGAGGGTGCCTCTTGATAAAAGTGTCCTTTGCTCAACCTTGACAACTTAAAAAACTCAGGGTACTGAAGAGTAAAGTAACTATATTTGCTTCACAACTATATTTTCTTGCTGAACATTGTGGTACATGCCTGTAATCCCACTACTCAGGAGGCTGAGACAGGAGGATCAAGAATATGCGGCTAGTGTGGGCTACATACAAGACACTATCTCAAACAACAACAACAAAAAGCAAGCAGGGCTGGAGAGATGGCTCAGTGGTTAAGAACACTGTTTGTTCTTGCAGAAGACCTGGGTTCGAATCCTAGCACCCACATGGCAGCTAACAACTGTCTGTAACTCCAGTTCTAGGGGATCAGACAGTCTTTTCTGTTCTCCTCCGGCATTGCAGGACACAGGTGCACTTACCTACACACAGGCAATACACGCATACACATAAAATAAAAATAAATAAAATATTAGAAAAGCACAAGCAAGCAAACAAAAAATATGAAGAAATGAAAGAGAATGTGTTTGTTTTGAAAAGAACAAAATCTATAACAATTTCAAGAGTAAATTAAAGGAAATTTCTCTGAAGAATCCTAACAACAGGGCCAGAGTGATATATCCTTAAGTGCTAGAAGGAAGCCAGGGTGAGGTGGTGCACACTTTTAATCCCAGCACTTCAGAGGCAGAGGAAGGAGGATCTCAGTGAGTTCAAGGCCTTCCTGGTCTACATAGTGAGTTCCAGGCCACCCGGGGCTACAGGGAGGCCATCTCAAAAAGATTTTTAAAAAGAGCAAGACGGAAGTCTTACAGGTAAGTCCTTTCATTTAGAGATACATGTACTCAGTAGATTGTTAAATTGGAGTCTCCATTTTTCTCTTATGACTAAAGAGATAGTAACATCTACTTCTAAAGGCTATTGAGGAATGCAGTGAACTAAGGTGTATCATATTCATAATCTGGACACCATAAGCATGGTCACAACCACTCCAATTACTGAAAGATTAGTGTGTATGTGGACACATCAGACATCTGTCGGTTACAGTTATAAAATATTAGGCACTGTTTATTGTCTGATTGGTTCTTTCCCTGAAAGGGTTAAAGGTAGTCATACCACAGCCATAGAAACACCTGACAGAGTAGCATGTACCCGGTAGGAACTTTACAATGTGCATTTCTAGAAATTGTAGCCCATGAATCCTGATTTAGGTACTCAAGCAAGTGAGAGCCCTGGGAGAAGGCTAGTCAGCTAAGAGATGAAGAACCCTATCCCTTCTGCACAGGAGGGTACCACCTGCCAGATTTGCATCTCAACCTCAAGGTGCAATAGATTTTGTAACCCTCAGATGTCTTCTGTCTTCCCCTTCAAATTAAGAACACACCTCATTCAAACATTACTCTGCAGCATTTTGTCAGCCTGTTTTTCTACAATTTCTATTTATTCTTTTCCATAGTTTTATTTCCTATGAGTTCTGTTAGACCCTTGCTACTTTAACACCTGGATTTTCAGAGAATCTTACAATCTCTCTTTTATAAGAACTCTCTTTTTCTCCACTGTTAACATTTGTTAGAGGGCATTGTTGACTTTTACGTTCTAAGTCTAATGACCTGTGCATTCTAGCTGTTAGTGCCCTTTCTAAAACAATCCTACATTCTAGTATTGTCTATCCCATCCAGAATTCTGAGTGGTAGCAGCCTGCTGATGCCACTTCCATACAGCTAAGGTTGACATCTTTGGCTCTCACAGCCTGAGGATAGGAAGGTGTACTGGCTACTTTCCTGTTGCTATTACAAACACTGTGATCAAGGCAACTTATAAAAGGAAGAGTTTATTGGGCTGTGGTTCCAGAGGGATAAGAATCCAGCCAGCCAGGCAGGTATGGAGGCAGAGGTGGCCAGAACAGAATTCTGACCACTCCCATCTTCAAGTAGGAACACTCAGAGCAAAACTGGAAATGGACAGGGCTCTGACCCCTCAGAGCCCGCCCCCAGTGACATGCTTCCTCCAGCAAGGCTATACCTTTCAATGATTCCATGATCTTTCCCAAAACAGTGCCAACAACTTACCAAGTGTTCAAATTCTTGGAGCCTATGGGGGAAAGTCTCGTTCAAACCATAACAGGATCAAACATACATGTAAAATGTTATACCTTTAGGTGATAGAAGTCAGGGTTCCCTCTCTGCATCCTACAGTGAACAGGGAAGTGCTTCACAGAAAGGGTTACCCAGTCCAAAAGGAAAGTGTTATATAGCTACTTCCTCTGAATTGAAACCTTCTCTTCTGATGGGAGGATCTGGGCTCATAAGTTTCAGGAAGGACTTCAAATTTAACAGGCCCAGGAAGATCATAAAAGCCTCAAGATTCACAAGGCTACTCCCCAAGGTTATAAAAGCAGTGAACAATACCTGGGGGAAAGGACAGTCTTCAGTGGAGGTGCCTGTAAATTGTGCAGGGAGCTCTAGGATGCAGCTTTTGTGAGTCATTCCCAATGCCTCTGAGTCACCATAGCTTCTGTAAGTGACCTCAGTAACCTCATTGGATCACCAAGCCAGATGTGGGTGAAATTAATTCTTAGTTAGTTGGAGTAAGTAGATACTATTGATGTCTCTCCAGGAAAAGTTACACAACACGTGTCAGTGCTGCAGTTAGAAAACTCTATCCTTGCTATTCTCCTGTTGTGCTATCCCAGAGAGAAGATGCAACTTGCCATCTACCTAATTAGTGGCAAAGACTGGATGAGATACTATTATTTCTAATATGTAGACTAATTTATATAGCAATAAATCTCAATTTTGATATTTTCATAGCCTGCAGAGTTGGAAGATGTAGTTCAATGCTGCTGACTGTAACAGCTTAAGTTTTTCTGAGAGAGCTATACTCAATGAAAGCTGGAATTCTTTAAAAAAAACATTTTATTTATTTATTATTACCTTTTTGTGGATGAATGCATTGCCTGTGTGTATGTATGTGCACACGTGTGGTGCAATGCCCACAGAGATCAGACGAGGGCATCAGATCCCCTGGAACTGGAGTTATAGACAGTTGTTAGTTGCCATGTGGGTGCTGGGGACCGAACATGGGTCCTCTGCAAGAGCAGCCAATGCTTGTGACCACTGAGCCATCTCTCCAGTCCCCAGAATTATTTACTTATACCATGGAAAAGATTTTAGGACACGTCATCATAAAGGAAAGTTGGAGTTCATTAAGAAAAGGTTCCCCCTTCAAGGCTCAGGGACCATGGTAAAAGAAGGGGTAGAAAGAATGTAAGAGCTGAAGATGGGGAGGAGTGCTGTGCAATGCTGCTCTCCAGTAAGACATGGCTGTGACACGAATGATCACAGCAGCTGTGGTTACCTGCACAAGATCAAGCCAGTTAAAATTCCAGCCTGGGGAGACCCTGTGTTCTACACCTAGCTGAAGAGTAGTTATTGGCAGTTGATGGCTGCTGAGGGAGAGTTACTTTTCCTTGTGGGAGATAGTCATTGGTAGGTTGCTCCTGTCCCAATAGATGATCCCACATTCATGTGCCTATGGGGAGCACTAACTGGACTCAAAGAGAGAGGACATGAAGTTGGGAGGGAGATGTGCTGGGGGTGGGGCTGGGAGTAGTTAGAAGGAAGTGAGGGGTGGATAAGACCAAGGTACAGTGTATGGATCTATGAAGTTTTCAACAAATAAAAAATCAAAATAAAATGAAATAGTCACTGTCTAAAGAAAAAGAAAAGGTTTTCATATAAACTTAATCATGAGAAGAGAGAGAGAGAGAGAGAGAGAGAGAGAGAGAGAATCTAAGTCAGCATACCACAGAGCTAACTGCACAGAGCTAACTGCACATCCATATTTACTGCAGCACTATTTATATTAGTCAAGAAATGGAACCAGCCTTGATGTCCATTAACAGATAATGAATAAATAAAATGTGGCATATACACACAAGGAGTTTCACCCAACCATAAAAAGAACAAAATAATGACATTTGGAGGAAAATGAATGGAACAGGAGAGCTTCATATTAAGTGGAAGAAACCGGAGTTAGGACAACTGTTATGTGCTCCCACATATTGAATCTAGGAGTGTGTGTGTGTGTGTGTGTGTGCGTGTGTGTGTGTGTGAGAGAGAGAGAGAGAGAGAGAGTGAGAGAGAGAGAGAGAGAGAGAGAGAGAGAGAGAGAGAAGGAGACTAGGAAAAGGGGAAGGGCCAGGAGAGGATAATGGGGATAAATATGGGGATAAATATGGTCAGAACAAAATTATATACTTGAATGAAAATTTATAAATTCCATTATTTTGTACAATGAATATACACTAATAAATTTTTCTTAAAAAGGAGAGTTCTGTACACTTGTATGTATGGGCTGAGAGAGAGAGAAAGAGAGAGAGAAAAAGAGTGTGTGTTAAGTTTCTTAACAATAGTTTTATGTGTATGATTTTGTTAAGAGTTTGAAATTATATTATCTAAAGTGTTTAAATGTTAAGTAAAATGTTTTGGTAGAGCTGCTCTTGTTTCAATTGTTTCCCCTTAGTAAATGAGATTGTAAGTGGTTTATGAGGTTTTTCTATTTGTCCATAATAAATTGATAAGATTAAAACAGAGATCAAAAAGATCAAACGTGAAGAAGACAGGTTTTTACTCCCAAACACAGTTCATAATCTTGAACCTCGGCCCGCAAAGGGAGGCGTTCCTTTTCTTCCTAGTCTCTTTAATTTCCTTGTTTCTCCTCAGTGTCACAATTCACATTTGCATCTTGGCTTCTTCCACTGAGAAAACAACGTTAGCCTAAGTCCCAAGCTTCTCTCCAGGGTTACAACTCCAGCTGGCCTGAACTGTTACTGCATGTCTTTTCTTCTTATGAAGTTAATTTGTCTTTTACCTTTAAACTTTCATGCTCTGCTATTCCAACTCTTCATTTCTGCATTTCTCTAACCGTGTATCCAACAGAAATGAAATAATTCTTGGACTGTCGGGATCACACCAAGGCTGTATTATGTGAGTACAAAACAGACTTTTTCTTGTGCTAAGGATACTTTTAAAAGCATTTTCTAGGTTCTTAAAGGAGTATGAGAAAATGTAGGAAAAACGATCCAGTCAGAACTTACCTTGTTAAATGCTGTTCCCTCGAAGCTCCACAGCACATAACAGTTTCTGATTTTTATAAGCTATTTGTTAATTTGAATAAACCCTCCCCAGTTAAGGGAAAGTGATCCAATAAGGGAAAAGCTGCTCCCACAGTGTTCAGAGACCAGAAGTCTCCACGAAAGATTAGAAGAAAAGTGCTAAGTCATCCTCACCTTGTGTGGCTGGTTAATATGTTCTTTTCCAAGGCTGCGAGTGGAAAGTTTGAAGGAAACATTTCAGACAGACTTAACTCTTTGTGAATCAATGAGGATGAGGTTTTACAAAAAGCTTACTGTGGGGTTTTCACGACATTCCCTTGTAGGAGAACTTGTAGGGCAGGGAGGGTCATCGGCTTCTCACCAGGGTATCCAGCCGCTCCTGCCAGTCATTTTTATGCAATTTTGCCCTAATTGCATGAGCCTAGAAGTCTGCTTGCTGGCTTTTCCCACTGGCCTGTGCTCAGTCTGCCCAGGACCACCTGCCCAGGGGTGACACCAGCCACAGTGGCCTGCGTCCTCCCATATCACTCAACAATGCCTCACAGAGGTGGTCACAGGCCATTCCAATAGAAGAAATTCCCCAATTGAGGCGCCCTCTTCCCAGGTGTGTCAAGTTGACAACCAAAGCCAGCCAGGACTCCTTCTCAGCATATGGGCCTGTGGACACGCTGTGTGCTCTGATTAGACTCATGTCCCTTCAGCTATGATTGCTTTCTCTTAGTTATGGCATTTGTTGGATTATTTTGGCATTATAAATTTAATATATTTTTCTCATAGGCTTTGAATTCCCAGAGGTTATATTGTAATTTACACTGATCATTTATGTGCTTGAGGCTCTTTGATTTCACACTGTACACTAACAGTAATGACTAGGAAGCTTGGCTTCACATGGTGTTTCCTAAACTGTCAGCACCACAAGGACCAGGAGGGTGAATATCAAGGATGATGACTCCTGAATTATTCACTACTTTATTTATTTATTATCACATGTGTTAAGGTTCAGATAGCCCTGTCCCCTCACCAACAGGATCCCAAGGACTTCTCATGCTCCTGAGAAAAGGGAACCTAGCTGATAAGCACCTTGGTCTTTGAAGTCAAGAGAAGCAGACTTTTCTCCACTGTTTGGCCAACAGAGCAGGCTTCCCCTTTGATCTCTAAAGAGGACAGGTTTTAACAGTCCTGCTATCCCACTCCCCCCACCCCCAACTTTAAAAATATACATCTTCCTGCCTTCTGCAGGAAGAAGAAGCCTCCCTTTTAAAAAGACCCCAGCTCAAGACCTAGGCAGACATTTTCCCTGCCCAGAAGGGAATCTGTCCCATGTGTCCCTTTGCTAATAAACCCTATTTTGATGGAGTTTTAACTGTGCCTCGGTGCCTCATCATCCATTCGCTCGTTCTCCACCAACTTTTTACCTATCAGATGGTGCCAAAACAAACCCGGTTCTTACTTCAAGGGACCCGCCTGGACTTCTCCAATGCCACTAACTCAGCTCGCAGGTACACTTCTTTTCTCTCTCCTCCTCTCCCCAGCCCTCTGCTTTGGTCTCACCTCTTTCTGGCTCTCCTCACTGGGAACACTCTGCCTTGCCTACTTCTTTTGATCTCCTTTCCCATTGATTTTCACCACTCCCAGACAGCACTGTTGACGGACCTGCTTCATCCTTTCCCTGTCTCGGTTCCCCCACAGCCTCTCACCACCAGCATCTCCCCACCCCCGCCCCCGCCTTTGCCATGGGCCTCCAAGCTCTACTGTCTTCCATCCTTTCTCCTGTCTTTATTCTCTTCCACTGCCTTTCTTCCTCACTTTACTCGGGATGATTTCTGGTACCGTTCAATCCAACACATACAAATGCTCTGGACCCTTCTCCTCTCCCTCCCCTCCCATACTAAAGCTTTCTGCTCCCTGCTGTGTGCCTGCCTGCCAGCCTGCCACATGTCTGACCTCCCATGCATGCTTTAAACCTGCATGACCCCAAGACTTTTTTTTTCCTTCCTGCTATTCACCCCCTCCAGGCAGCTGCCAAGATTGCCAGCTCCCCTGCCCTGGGAATATTTTTCTTTAACATTCTAATGAAATGAG